GGGATTGGGATCAGGATTGGGATCGGGATCGGATTCTCTGGATGTTCCCATCCCAGCCCTGCCACTGTGGGTTCTCTGTTGTTATCCCGGGATTGGGATCGGGATCGGGATCTGTGGGTTCTCCGTTGCTGTCCCAGACCGGCAGCGGGGTTGGGAAATTCCTCTGGGATAAATCCCTTCCCCCCGAGGCTCCCAGCATCAATGGCTCCATTCAGGCCGGCCCCGGGCTCTCCTCGTTTTCCCGGATAATCCCTCAGGGCTTTGTCGGGAAGAGAGGACAGAAAAGCGGGAAAGGCCTGAGGTGGCCCCTCAGGTGGGAACGAGGCATTCTGGAGGTGTTTGGGAACAAAATCCCGCTTTATTCCCACTTTTTCATACCAACATTCCCGGCTCGGGAATTCCTGTCGGGATGCGCTCGGGATGAGGGGGCGGCCAGGGTGGCTCTGCCACCCCAAAGCCATCCGTTATTCCCAGATTTCCGGGAAAAGCTATTACAGGAAGTACCTCAAGGCCTTGCTGTCCAAACGGGGTCAGAAGGGGAGGTAAGGATGGAAATTCCCATTCCCAGAAAATCCCATTCCCGACAAATGCCATTCCCGAAGGTCAGGAATGTCACCATCTCCCACCTCCTGCAGCTCCAAGATCGATGAGAGCCTCAGCTCCCGGATCCGCTCCTACCTGCGCTCCTACATCTACATTCCCGAGGAAGGTGGGCACCTGGAAAATCCCACGGAATCCGGGAACGGTTGGGGTCGGGATTTATGGATCAGCCAGGCCATTCCCAAAATTCCAGGTGTCTCCAAGCCCTGTCCTACCCGGCCGGGCTTGGAGCCCAAATCCAGCTGAGCTTGGGGCAGGGATCTGCAAATCCGTGGAAAAGGAGTCCTGGGGGTGATGAGAGTGATGGGAAGTCCATGGAGACCCCATAAATCCATGGAAAAGGGTTCTGGGAATGATGGGAACCCCATGGAGGCCCCACAAATCCATGGAAAAAGAGTCCTGGGAGTGATGAGAGTGATGGGAAGTCCATGGAGACCCCACAAATCCATGGAATTGCAGGAAATCCATGGAAACCCCACAAATCCATGGAAAAGGTGTCCTGGCAATTATGGGATCCTCATGGAGACCCCACAAATCCATGGAATTATGGGAGACCCATGGAGCCCCACAAATCCATGGAAAAGGGGCCTGGGAGTGATGGCAACCCCACGGAGGCTCCATAGATCCATGGAAAAGGGGTTCTGGGAGTGATGGAATCATGGGAAACCCATGGAGACCCCATAAATCCATGGAAAAGGGGCCTGGGAATGATGGGAACATCATGGAGACCCCATAAATTCATGGAATTATGGTAAATCCATGGAGGCCCCAGAAATCCATGGAAAAGGGTTCTGAGAATGATGGGAACCCCATGGAAACCCCTTAATTCCATGAAAAAGGGTTCTGGGAATGATGGGAGTGATAGGAACACCATGGAGGCGCCACAAATCCACGGAATTATGGGAAACCCATGGAGTTCCACAGATCCATGGAAAAGGGTTCTGGGAAGGATGGGATCCTGATGGAGGCCCCACAAATCCATGGAAAAGCGTTCTGGGAATGATGGGATCCTGATGAAGGCCCCATAATTCCATGGAAAAGGGATCCTGGGACAATTCCAGGGAGTTTTGGCCAGCCACGGTTTTCCTGGGAAAGCTCAGCCAGGGGAGAACGGGAGCACCCAGGAGCTGGAGACGGGAATTGCTCTGCACTGAGGAGGTGAAATCCCGGGAATGTGGAGCCGTCCCCATCTATGGAGGGGGCAGGGATAATCCTGAGTTTCCGTGGAAAAGCAGGATGGAGCCATCCATCCATTCCCGACTCGCCATCCCAGCAGAAATTCCTTGCGGAAATCCCATTCCAAAGGGTGTTGTTCCCTTTGCTGGGTACACCCTGATCCTGGTCCTCCATCCCAAATTCCCGATTTTCCCTCCAGGATTCCGGATCCCGCTGAAGCTGGTGGTGTCCGTCACCGTGGCCATTGTCGCCGTCTACCAGGTGACATTCCCAGAGGATCCCGGGGGTCACCTGGGAATGGTGTTAAAATCCCTTCTGGAATTCCGCGCTCCCATAAATCCTGACATCCCACGGGATCTGAGCCACTAATCCCCAAATTCTGCGGAATCTGAGCCGTAAATCCTGCAGGATTCGAGCCATAAATCCCAAAATCCTGTGTGAGCCGAGCTGCAAACCCCAAAATCCCGCGGGATTTGAGCTTTAATTGCCACGGGATCAGAACCTTAAATCCCACAGGATCTGAGCCATAAATCCCAAAATCCCATGGGATCTCAACTGTAAACCCCAAAATCCTGCAGGATCCAAGCTTTAAATCCCATGGGATCTGAGCAGTAAATCCCAAAATCCTGTGGGATCTGAACCTTAAATCCCACGGGATCTGACCCATAAATCCCAAAATCCAGTGGGATTGGAGCTGAAAATCCCATGGGATCGGAACCTTAAATCCCATGGGATCCAAGTCTTAAATCTCATGGGATCTGTCCCATAAATCCCAAAATCCTGCAGGATTTGAGCTGTAAATCGCACGGGATCGGAACTTTAAATCCAATGGGATCTGAGCCTTACATCCAATGGGATCTGAGATGTAAATCCTGAAATCCTGCGGGATTTGAGCTGTAAATCCCACGGGATCGGAACCTTCAATCCCACAAGATCAGAACCTTCAATCCCACGGGATCAGAACCTTAAATCCCATGGGATCCGAGCCATAAATCCCGCAATCCCGGGGGATTTGAGCTGTAAATCCCACGGGATCGGAACCTTAAATCCAATGGGATCAGAACCTTCAATCCCATGGGATCGGAACCTTCAATCCCACGGGATCCGCACTGTAAATCCCGCAGTCCCAAGGGATGTGAGCTGTAAATCCCATGGGATCAGAACCTTCAATCCCATGGGATCGGAACCTTCAATCCCACGGGATCAGAACCTTCAATCCCACGGGATCGGACCCTTCAATCCCACGGGATCCGTGCTGTAAATCCCGCAATCCCGGGGGATTTGTGTTGTAAATCCCACGGGATCGGAACCTTCAATCCCACGGGATCCGCACCGTAAATCCCGCAATCCCGGAGGATTTGTGTTGTAAATCCCACGGGATGAGAACCTTCAATCCCACGGGATCGGAACCTCCAATCCCACGGGATCCGCGCCGTAAATCCCGCAATCCCGGGGGATTTGACCTGTAAATCCCACAAGATCGGAACCTTCAATCCCACGGGATCAGAACCTCCAATCCCACGGGATCCGCGTCGTACATCCCGCAATCCCGGGGGATTTGAGCTGTAAATCCCATGGGATCAAAACCTTAAATCCAATGGGATCTGAGCCTTAAATCCCACGGGGTCTGAGATGTAAATCCCAAAATCCCGCTGGATTTGAGCTGTAAATCGCATGGGATCAGAACCTTAAATCCAGAGGAATCTGAGCCTTAAAACCCCAAAATCCCACCGCATTTGAGCTGTAAATTGCACAGGATCAGAACCTTAAATCCAATGGGATCTGAGCTGTAAATCCCACGGGATCCGAGCCGTAAATCCCGCAATCCTGGGGGATTTGAGCTGTAAATCCCACAAGATAGGAACCTTCAATCCCACGGGATCGGAACCTCCAATCCCACGGGATCCGCGCTGTACATCCCGCAATCCCGGGGGATTTGAGCTGTAAATCCCACGGGATCAGAACCTTCAATCCAATGGGATATGAGCCTTAAATCCCACGGGATCTGAGATGTAAATCCTGAAATCCTGCGGGATTTGAGCTGTAAATCCCATGGGATCAGAACCTTCAATCCAATGGGATCCGAGCCTTAAAACCCCAAAATCACGGGGGATTTGAGCTGTAAATCCCACAAGATCGGAACCTCCAATCCCACGGGATCAGAACCTCCAATCCCACGGGATCGGAACCTCCAATCCCACGGGATCCGCGCCGTACATCCCGCAATCCCGGGGGATTTGAGCTGTAAATCCCACGGGATCGGAACCTTCAATCCCACGGGATCAGAACCTCCAATCCCACGGGATCCTTGCCGTACATCCCGCAATCCCGGGGGTCTCCGTGCCCGCAGGTGGCCCTGCTGCTGCTGCTGGCCGTGGTGCCGGCGCTGCGGATCGTGCGGGCGGGGCTGAGCGCGGACGTGGTGCTGCTGCTGGTGCAGCTGGGGCTGGTGCCCTCGCAGGGCGCGGCCGGGCCCGGGCGGCTGGAGCAGGAGCTGCGCACCGCCCGACTCTTCCTGCGGGCCCTGGAAGGTGCGTCCCGAGCCCGCCCGCCGGGATCGGC